CCGAGGGATGCTCCAATAAATTTAGGGTCAAAATGAAAACAGCACTGCAAAAACCCAAGCGATAAAATTTAAGGATTGCGAGGGCTCAGTGACAGTTTGAGTGTTTCTTTTCATGCACCGTCATAAGTGTAGTGCTAAATTATCCCAAATGCTGTCAGCGCTGCTTCAAGCGTGTTTAAATGCGATCTCCGGGGCACGCCGCCATGCCCTGAACGTCGTCCGAATTCAGGACGGCATGGTAAACGGCATGGTTAAGGTGTCCGATGTCTTCCGAGCAGGGTGTCTCAATTAATAACGCACGTGAAAAAGCAATTGCCTGTACTTTGACTCCAACGCAATGAGAACATTGGGTACACCTGCACGTATGCAACAAGGGGACAGGCAAGGATGCTCAGCTAGTCAACAGTTTACTTAAAATGTAAGCGGTGCATGTTGTCCGTCAAAACGAAAAATGAATAAATAAGTAGTTTGAACCCATGAAGTGTGCCTAAAACCTACAGCTTCGAAGTGAGCAAACTGAGCTAGTGGCAACGTTCCTGTTCCATTCAACCCGCCGCATGCCTTGAGAAAAAACACCGAGAACGCAACAAGTGTACGTAGTGCACAACCAGGTAAGCCGATGACCTTCTGCGATCGTACTTAATGCTTGAAGAATGTATATTCTGCGTGGTTTTCTACTTCCTAGCCCTCTTATTACTCTTGGACTTCAGACCTTACCTGTCCAGAGATTTCAGTCAAGATCAATGCAACAAATCCCAAGGTCCCCGGCATCTTGGAATTCATTCGTGTGTGCTGAATTTTATGAGAGGCAGTTTTGAAAAACATGAGTGCCGCACTCTAGGGAGGGAGCAGAGTGGGGATAACTGTGAACTTTGACCCCAAAGATACCAAGAATTTAAATCGAATAAGGGACCCACGCAAGCTGCCTTCGAATAAGTAGCGGGCGTAAGACTTTTAGTGCGAATGTAGGGAGACATTTGATATGCGTTTCCACATACATTTGTTCCTGCAAACATTTCAAATACGTAATACTTCGCCGTACCGAAAAATTGCGACGCAGATGGATTGCGGCACTTGTCCCCCCGCCACATGTTTCACTACCCCCCCTTTTTTCGCTATTTCCCCTAAATCAGTGGTGGGCGTAGGATACACGATCTGGATCGAGGGGATCCATGGATGTCTCAGACAAAACAAAGCTACGAGTGGTGATGGGAGCTTGAACAGAGGAAATTTCAGTGCGTCTTTTTGCAGGTAATTTATGTGTAAGCGGCTGCCTTTCACCTCACTGGCTACATTCGCGAGTGAACGTCTTGGTATGGCAAATGATCGAGGGCTTCTGATTGGCAATGCTCTCCTGCGTGGATGTATATATATATATATATATATATATATATATATATATATATATATATATATGGATTGTCGATACTTGCGTGCCCGGTGTTGGAAGACAGCTGGGCAGTGTTGGACAGTGTTCTGGACGCATAGTCGGTCGTCGAGCGCCGTCGCTGCCGACTGTAGCGGAGTCCGACCGACGGCGATCATCCAGCCGGCGGTCGGACTACCGGGGTCCGTCTTCGCACGCGCCCGTGGTCAAACGCTCCGCCGACCGTGCTACGCCGCCCCCCCCCCCCCCCCCCACGCGCAATGCCAATGCGGCACAATAGAAAGGCACCCTAACCGCCTCTTACCCAGACCTTTTAGCGCATTTTAATGGAAAATATGTGGCAGACATGTGAAATGAATAAATGAGGTTCATCATGAGTATACAGCACGCCTGAATTTTCAGGCGAATGGCTTAAAAAACGACAATGCCATCGCAGCCACAGCACTCGACTGATTAGTTAGCTTTTCGTATAGCGTTTTTTTTTTTTCAGCCACGCCGCCCAGGGGGCCTGCCAGCGGGCCGTTACCCCTCCTCACCAGTGCGTCGCTCCACAGCCCGCCGGTAGCCAGACTGAGCAGTGCGTGCCGGGAGTTGGATGATGGACGGGACGAGGGCGGACGTCAGCGACGGCAGCGGCCGCTCACTGCTGGGCACGACGGCCAGCGACGCCCTGTCGCACCAGGCCAGCGTCCAGCTGCGGCCGCTCTACTACCGGCGTGCGACGCAAGCCGAATCGCGGTTGCTGCGCTCGTCGGAGGGCGATGGCCCCGACCTGGACTCGGCCAGTGTCCCGGCGCTGTTGGCCAAGCCGTCCCGCGTCGTCTCTGGGGTCGTCATGATCGAGTGAGCTCGTCGGTGGCGGGGAAAACCACCACGGAGCGGGAGTGCGGGAGGCACGGGCTGCCTCGGCGCGCCAGGTCCAGTTGATTACATGACTTTGGTGCGATCATTTATATTGTGTGCCTTCGCCACTGGGTGACAAGGGACGCACCGCTGCAGTCTGGGCGAACAGCAGACAAAAATGTGCGCTGTAAGTCTCCCGGCCGGCCGGGTTGAGCCGTCGCAATGGCAGGTGGTGCCAGTGCACTACCACGAATTCCACTGCAGTGCTGTTCTTGAGCGTAGACACTAAAATTCTGGATCACTTTCAGGCGAATTTTAAAGTTGACTTCAAGAGACCCAGGCTGAACATCACATGAGGATTGTTTCCATACACCGCAGTGCATGACATTCGGCGTATCATCGATATCGGTTACCACTGGCAGGGCATGCTCGTGTGGTGAGATGACTGAACCGGCCCCGAGCTAACACGGTTCAGGCAGACAGTGGAGCTGAATTTCGATCAGACGTTAGTATTTAATTGTGTCAAGTAGAATGCCGTGTACTACGTGCATGGAGACGATCGGTATTTATCAGATCTTAACTGGGCTTCAAAAAACGGATTTCAATATCCAGATTAACGGATTGTTTCACATTTTGAAGACATTAAAGCAGGCGTCCAATATTATGAAATAAGCTCACTTAAACTTTTTATCTACCTTGAGTGCAAAAGACCGCTTTAAAGAACACGTTTTCTTTGTTAAGCAAATGTGCTCCTTACCACGTGATCGTTTCATTACGTCATCGTACCTTGCACAACATTGGTGGAGAGCCAATGGACAGCCGTTGTTTGGAAAGCGCGCTCACGAACGCCAGATATGGACGACTCGACAGTTGTATTTGTATTGGCCTTGATCGCCACATAGCTAATGAAATGGCAGGATTTGAATGTTAAGGCATCACGGTACCCTGGATGCCCTTGAAATAGTATGCACATATTCGCGGCGCGTAGCTCTGAAACTAGAAGGGTTACAGTCTTGCAAAATGCAGGGCTGTGAACTGCACCGAATGACTTTAAAGCTGGTTAATTCAGTTCAAAACCCCATACAAATGACGAGCATGCACATTAAACGCGAGCTGCACGTTCTGCTTAGAAATTGTGATTTACTACCAAAACCGTACATTACATGCATGGCAATGATTTGAATTCACAGTTTTGTGAATGTATAGGGTGTGTATGCTTTGCACTTTGCACTCCACTCTCAGCAGTCCCAGACTAAAAACCTGATCTTGTTCGCAACACGCCAAATTCAAACCGTTTTGGACAGGGACGACACGCACCAAAACATTGAAGCCGACGAAGAAATGGTGAAGAACCTGACGAGGGAGAGGAAGCATTGTCTATGCTGTCTTGTCGTTGTTTTTGTTCTTCTCGCTATCCTGGCGACCGTTTGGGGTGAGTGAACCAATGTTAGACCCACGCGACAGATATCCGAGCAACCGTGACTGTGAGCATTTGAGTAAATAAATAAGGGCACTCCCCGAAAAGTGTTAACTAAAAGCACTGAAAGCCACATAAGCAAGTAAAGCCATGATATACTACCGCTCCCGTCGTCCCAATGCAATGTCACTAAAGGGTTCTGTGAATCGTCTACCTTTGAGCACTTCCCCAGATAGTACTTCTAAGCTACTGCCGCCTCATTTCAGTTGTGATGACGAATCACTTGAGATGATCGCAGTGCGGATGAAGTGGAGCCAAGACACAAATTGCCAGGCAAAGCTGCCGATGGGTCACATCACAGTACCCGCTACGGGAAGAAGAGACCTTCAAGTACGGTGGACGGAGTGGCGAGCTGGCGCGAGAGCACTCGTAATAAACTGAGTATACGGTCCGGAGCTGTGAAAATACCAACCGATACTGAAAACGCTGAGAAATAGGGCGACAGCACTGCGCCAGTTTCTTCTTCACAAAAAGGTAGCGCTCTGCGCGTCATCACGCCCGTGTTAGGGGTCGCCGGCAACTGCACTGGCCATATTGGCGTCCACGGGCCATGGCGCAACCGGGATTCAAACCTGCTTCAAGTTTAAGACGCCAGGGAGATGGGCCATATCGGCGGCGCCGAAGGTGAAAGCGTGGCCAAGTCATACAAAACAAAAACAAAACAAACAAAAGCATTGGCCGAGTTAAGCTGCTGATACATGTCCATTGTTTCCGAGAACGTAACACGTTCTATGACGCATGAGTAATTTAAGACGGTGTAAAACGGGAAACGCGTTAACAAACGTTTCGGACGAAGTTCGTCGTAGTTTGAGCGGCGGCGGTGTGCATTTGGGGACCGATTTCAACCTGACAGGTGCCAATCCGGCATAGGGTTACCTTTGGGCAGCCAATACCAAGACACATCAGGCACCAACGCCATTCCTGTTTATATGCGATTTTGATCCCAGGATCTTGAATGGTCCCAGCCGTCCAGCTGCTGCGACCATTTTCCGGAAGTGGTCCTAGTGCAGACCACGCCAAACAGCAGCCCCCAGCCGTTTTTCAGCCGCCATCTGTCTTCGTCGATGCACTGCCCTATATCTGTTACCTGCGACCGCTCACTGGTATTTCCGGAAACACCGGTCTGACCAGAACCACCGGTCTGGTCGGAAACACTGGTCTGGCCGTTTACACCGATCTGGCCGGAAACGCCATCCCGGCCTGGCCCAGCTCGCGACACGACCTCGGCGCAGCTGGCTCTGCTTCCCAGCCGTCGCGCCGCGCCCGTTCGCGGCCGGCCACTGAGACACACGATTTTCACCGTCGCATGTATTGTACAGCCGGGGCCTAGCTTTCCGAGATGGTGACCTCCACGTCCACGTCGGGCTCGATGTTGATGGAGGTGATCTGCTTCACGACCTCGGACGTGCTCTGCAGGTCGATCAGGCGCTTGTGGATCCGCATCTGGAACCTGGCGAGCGCAGAGACATACTGTGGTCAGCTGGTGGCCCGGCAGGACGGGCAGGGTATCGGCAGGCATCACCAAACCAACCGCCAGGACCCTCACCAATAACAGGTAATGGCCGTGCGCCGCAGAACTTGGATAAGGCATACAGAATTGGCGGAGCGGTGGCATGACATTTCGTCATACAACGCAAATGCCCTGAGGACATAGGAACGAGACTTTTCCTGGACATAGCCAAGAACAGCTTGAGCGACTTGCCTTTCGCCATCAGTTCTGATGACAATAACCGTCCTTCCCCAGATCCCGTTATCAACATTATACTACGGAGGGATGATAAAGCTGAAAAACACCGTTAACAGCGCCATCTATCATTATCATTTAGATGGTTAACAGCGCCATCTAGCGATGCGAACCACATTTCAAATCCCCTCCCTCAACAGGTGATAAGATCAGATCTTTTGGCAGGGATTCAAACACTCACGGTGTGTATAGATGGCCAAATATTGCATGACTTTTAGGAACAAAAACGTCTCATGCATGTCCGTCGATAAGGGTGACAGATTACCTAGAACGACCACAGAATGTCATCCTTTGGGCACCTCGCTCAACATGCCGAATCCGCGCTTCCTTGAAATGTGGACATAAATGCGCCACATGACGAACAGTGCGTGGCGTATCGGTGCGACCCACGGGTGGAGTGCGTGACCGATTGGCAGCCTACCGAGATCATGCCACCCCAGAACTCGATTGCCCTTGGTATATTATTCAGCTGGCAATAGCAGGGTAAAGGTTCAATGCTGTGGATGGCGGCGTTGATGAACGCGTGGAAGGCGCGCACGCGGCACACTTCGCAACCACGTCCGCAAGTTCGTTGCCCGTGATTCCTCAAGAAGTGAAACCCTGCACAGAACTGCTTGATTTCCCGAAAGTCAAAGCTGCCAAGCTCTACGCCATGACATGCAGAGAGCATCGTGGGTAGAACGTCCCCAGTCACGCAACTGCTACGGCCATCAGACATGGCCCAATGCAGGATCTCGCTGCCAGACTCCGCGTAACTCAGTACGGTGCTAACGGCCACGACGCCCAATGCAGTACACTGTGGTGAGTGCTGGTACCGAGGTGGTACCGCTTCATACGAGGTGAGCCCCATGGCTCTGAACCTGGGACCATCCGTACTCACGCACTGTTTCCTAATTTGGGCTAGTGAAATGCTTACTGTCAGTGCAGGCAGTAGGCATTTCAGTAAGCAGCAGTGGCATCCCATCAGCTCCACCTGATGGGGTGCCATCAGGTGGCGCTGCCTGAGTAAACCTTCCAGTCTGGAGCCAATCTCTCAGAACGGCCCTTCAACTCGGACCGCAAACGGCGCATGTTGCATTTGTTCGTTCTGGGATAGTCCTGCCGAGCCGTGAAAAGGTCGCCGAGAAGGTTGACTGATTTTCAAACTGGGCCACAATGCATGTGTAATGCATCCCAAGCATTCCTATTCTGAGTACATGTGGTGTCTCATTTGCCTCATCAGTAGGCTGGCGACCGGAGACCCTCTTAACGCCCCGGACGCTACCCGCGCTACTGTGTGGTGCACGGTATCTGACCAAGGCTCACCAGGAGGGGGGGACACAACATCACGTGACATGGTGCATCCAGAGTAACTTGCCTGTCCCACGTCTTGGAGCCCTCTCCACAGGGCGTTTTCCTTGTGGTGATGCGCAGGGTCTTGGTGGGCATCCGGATCGGGCCGCGGACGCGCAGACCCTTTCCCTTGGCCTTATCAATGAGCTCCGAGCACACTGCAGAAATATCAACATCTGGTTAATAATGCTCAATGAAAACAAAGTGGTTGATATCAAATTCCACATCAATAACCTTTGGCATGACTGCAACACCTTAAAAGGACACAGCACAAGCATGCCTATTATCAAATGCACAAAATATGGTGTTAAAAGCACCTCTGTGGCTAACTTTTCATCGATTCAATGCATCATTGTTTTCTACCTCTGATAATTCATCAAAAGGTATGCATTGTCGCCAGCAAAATGGGTGACTTCCGAATCACTAGAAACTTATTCAGTTGGCGCCTCCTTGCAAAATGGCATGAACTTTAGCAATACTAGCAACATGAGTGAATAATGCTTCATTTATGTTTTGGAATATCAAAATGACATCAAATCATAGAGTGTGACAACTCAACAATTTTAGTTTGGACATTCAGGCATGTCATATATGGCAGAAATATAAACATGACAATATTAGGTAATACCTTCACATGTAGTAAAAACAATAGATTGAAAGTGCTGAAGCTCAATGACATTGAACAGATCCCAGCTGTGATCAAATTAATCACATTTTGCAAGATTAGAATTCCACTGGTCAGCATGCATATGTTCGACACCTTACATTTGCTACAGGTACCATGACCAGGAAGCCCACACCTACCTTTCTCCAATGAGGGCACATTCAGAGAGCTGAGGGTGATCCGGATCTTGTGGATAGTGGCCTCAGCCTCATACTTCATATCCTTCCCATAGGACTGGAAAATAAATTGAAGGCCCTCAAACAATGATTGACACAGGGTAACCAGTGACACAGAGGGAAATCAAACCATCCAGGTTGTGAGGCCCTAGAGCCGCAGCAAGCAATTGCCTCTACACTGACCACACCAAACGTGACAATGGAAAATTCATGAAGACATTTTAACCAAATTCACTCATCCATAAACTTCCCAATGGTGCAATGAGTTGGAGGGTGTTCTTCACAAGTGCAAACAAATCAGATGCATTGAGCTCACTCTAAATAACAAACCCTTTGTGGTAGCACTGATTCAAGCACACACCAAAAATGGACCATTGCATGTCCATTTGGAAATGCAGAGCTTCCAAAGAAATGAGAACAAATATTGATGAGTGGTTTCCCTCCATGCATGAATTCAATTAATGGTATTCATTTTAGCTGGGAGAGCCTCCCTCCTCTTAGATGTTCATAATGATTAGTGAGTGATTATATCATCACTCACATGATAGATCATAAATTTTAGAGCAAAAGAAATGGAACACAGGTTTAAGTCTAAATTTAATAGTACACTGTTTTTGAAAGTGGTAAAGCCTTGCAGGCATACCTTCATCTTTGGCCATCATTATAACAAAGGCCAGAGGCCAACCACAACTTAGCACAAACTGGACATTGTGGGAGTTTGGTGGTCTGACTGCATCTGTGGATACAGTGTATATATGTGTGTACACTTAAGTTTATTGGATCAAGCAGCATAACTCTTTCAAAGCTTGCCCATATTTTCAAGATATTTCTATACAAACTGGTAAGTTGGGTGAAACATTCCAATACTGCATATCCTACTGCTTCAACTGTCCAAACACCAGGGTAAATATAAGAATTGTTAAGTTATAAGAGAACAGTAACTTTTCTGGTACCTTTTCAAAAGGTAAGTAACTTCTAGATATTGGCAATTGGGCACCTCAGCAACAGGAGATGGATCAATGATGACTGTGGAAAAACCACTGTACAAGTACAAATTACCAATCAGATTGATCATTTGGGCTCTGGAGACTGAGACTGCATGGACATACTGCACCCAAAAAGCACAGGGAAACAAGACACTATAATTTGATTGCTTGACATCACACATATGATTATTTTGAGATATTTTTTATCACTGATGATTCAGCAACCAGGGCACATGGAGACATGATAATGACTACACTATATAAGCAAATGTACTGACTTTACCTCTGAAACTGATCCCAGAGCTTTCTGGGCCCACTCATGTAATGGCACCAGCCTTAAAGCTATCAGTATCACCTTGGCTAAATCTTAATACAAGTTTGTGTGGCCTTAACTGAGCCAGACAAGACCATAAAACTATACAGGTATGCAATTGTGCTGGTTATCATGTGATATTCCCTTAAAATACTCACACTGACAATGAGATGGTCTATATTGCCAAAATTGTCAGTCACTCTAAACTTACTACCTTATTGAATGAAATTATCAGCCATGTCCTGAATGAAAAAATTATGTTGGCTGAAGGAAATGCCCAGTGCTGCAACAATCAGCTGAAATATCAAAGCACACCCTAAATCCCTGTTATCTGAGCTTGGTGCAGTGCCACTAAGTTCAGAGAACAGGGCTAATATTCTGTTGCATAATGCTGATAAGAAATTTTGCACCAAGTTACCCCAAAATCATGTTTCACACTGACATTATAGGAACATTGAGCACAATATCCCCTGGCCTCAGTTGAAACATATGAGAGTGACGTCAGGCACACCAATGACAGGCAGACATCCAGAGCAGTGGATGCAATTTTTCCAGGCTGGAACCATGTTAGACATGCAACCAACAAGATTGCAGCATAACATCTGAGTGGAGATCCTTGAAAACTTTTGCATGTTACACCACAAAAAGAGTGCATTGCTATTAATGGGGCTTAAAAACACACCATGCTCTTTTCACACAGGCATGAAAGGCTGGCATCAGAAGGGATTTAATGCTACAATGTTTACATGCAGTTTCCTCACTATAATGCTGGCAACCTTGAAAAGAAGGAAAACAAGCCACTGCATTTTGCAACTTTGTTTCATACAACAGTGGTGGACTCAAATTTCTTACATTGTGTTATGTATGTTGACAGCCATCCCCAAAAGTTCACATTTCTATAACTTTGTGCAATGAAGCTTAAGCCCCTGTGCATCAAGCCCAGGCTATACCATATGGAAGGTAACTTCCCAATTGTTCAGCTTGCTTATCACCTTATAAATATCTTAACCTGCACATACCTTCGCAACATCATATTTCCTACAGATCAGCTACACACAATGATTTGGTGGCAGCTAGGCCCATCCCTAATAGTGTCACAGCATACATCCAAAATTTATCTGGAATGCCACTGTTACATTGGAAATGTAGCTTGTAATGTGTTACACTGAGATCAGGTCCATGCATGTCCAGGGTATGACAAGCACAACAGCACTGGAATACCTAATGGCCACTGATGGAAACATTAGCATGAGCCTTCCACTGCAGATCACACACTTAAAAATATGAAGTGTACTTCCCAGAAAAGCAAATACTTTCCCGCTCACGTTTCCACAAATAGCTCACAACCACCTCTTGAATGTGCGCCAGCATTGTCACCAGCACACTGAACTCCCCACATGGCCACCGGACACTAAGGACGTTAGCACAATTAACACACGATAGCAAGATCTTACCATCTTGGGGCTCTCTGCGTTGGATATATGTCACGCTTAGCAGAAAATCGACTTGACGAATGTCGAGAACGCCGACGATCACGACATCAGGCGTCGCAAGCGGAAAAGGGCCTTAGTCGCTGTTTTGGTAACAATCATGGGTTGCCTATTCTTTTGATGACGTAATTAACCATAAATTATGTCAAGATGCAAAATTTTGTTTGAGATATGCCTTACTTTGTATGTAATTTCAATATTCCTAACAAATTAGCTTTTTAACTTGTAAATTGAGATTTAAAATGTCATTATCATTCAAAGAGTAGAAAATACGTAATTCATCAGCGATGTGTAGAATGAGACCGGAAAACTATGGGACGCTAACATATAGAGATGAGCCAAAATTGGACACTATTTCTTAACCTCTCTTATTCATAACTTATGCCTGATTTCTGAAAAAGTAAGGGTCTTAAAAGACTGTCATTTTCAAAGATACGGCAAGTTACTGAGACATAAGTACACGAAGAAGGTAAATATGGAGGGGCGCACAGCATTCATCACTAAAGCTATCAGTGGCGTAGCCGGAACGTCTGTTTTAAAAGTTCTACCAGTGAATAAATATTAGGTCTTTCGCTCTACGGGGCGTCGCCACCTCCGGGGGTCCTCACATCCCGCTCTTTGGCTATGTCGCAGATCAATAATGGTATAATTTGGATAGAGATGCCTTGCTGAAATAATTGTTACGGTTTGGAGCTATAGCTTAGAGGAATATATATATATATATATATATATATATATATATATATATATATATATATATATCTATATCTATATATCTATATATACACATATAGTGTGTTGTTTTTTACATGCGCTGGTGGTCTGTCACAGCCAGAGTATGCAGAAAAACAACATGCGATATAGATGTTTGTGTCCCCCGTCATCAGGAGCGCAGGCCGGCGGGGAGGGGCGCAGGGGACGCAACGTATCTTCTTGGGTCCGGAAAGGCCCGAATGTGCTTTGATACCTTCGTTCAAGCGCCCGATTGGAGACAGCTGCTGATGTAACTAGGCTGTGGGGATGTAACCACTTCTTAGGGACGCTGGGCCCCGCCCTCGGCCAAAGCGCCAGGGACTTAGAATTAGACCTCACGAAGGCCCCTTAAATTGGATGAAGTTAATGAAGTGAAATGAAATGAGACTTGAAATGAATGAATTGAAATGAATTTAAGTTAGGTAGAAGAAGAATCGGACAGCCGTTTTTGAGCAGAGTTCCGTCCCGTGCTTGGAAAAGCCCCAATATGCTGAGCTAGCGCCAGGACCAACACCATAGACTATTAAGGTTTCTACTGGCGTAGTTCGGGGCCTCCCTGGAGCATTGACGACGCCTCTGTCCACCGGGGACCTCGGTACAGAGAATAGGACCAGGACCAGGTACTGAGCTAACCAGGGGCCCCCTGAGTTGACAAGGGCCTATAAGTCGGGCAGACATCACCAATAATGCACAGTCAGCTCCGTGTCAGCATGGGCCTGCGGGCTCATTTCCCCGGCACGAACAAAGCCGGAGTCAGCGATTTACATTGGCCGGGGCCGCAACGTCTGTCAGCGCCCCATAGCGCCTAACAGGGGTACTGTGTTGGTAAGAGCCCCGAGTCGGCCAAAAGCGGTATTCGGAGATGCCCGAAGAGCCTACAGGACCCGCCGAGTCAGACTGGGGCAGGGAGGACTGGTCAGAGTCTCCTTCAGAGGGCGCCGGTCAGCCGGAACGGGCCATCAAGCAACAATGAAAGAGCCCTTTGCGCCGATCGAGGACCTCTTGAGTCGATATGGGCCTATATGTCGGTCAGGCACCACCAGTACAGCAAGGTCGGTTCCGTCTAGTATGGGCTTGAGGACCCACTTCCCAATTAGCTATGAAGCCGTAGCCAGTCATTTTCATTGGTCGGGGGCTCTGTATCTGTTGCGGCCCAATAGCGTCGTAGCGAGGGTCCTGTGCTCGCAGGGGGCCCAAGGGAAATGGTTGATGAGGCCTGAAGAGGGGCCCGAGCGGCCCACTGGAGCCGTCGGTTAAAGGCCCGGTTCGAGGCATAACGCTACGAAGGACTAGCTTTAGGTCACAGAAAGAGTCATGGCCTGTTGGGTCGTGAACTGATATATCAGGCAGAGGTCCTCTTGCACCGCTTGGGGAGCCCCTGAGACAATGCGGCTGTCTAAGTTGGCCAGAGACCATGAACACCAAAAAGTCAGCTCCATGTACGTCTGATCCCTTGAGATACAATTCCCAAGCAGGAGCGAGGCCGGGGCCCGCGATTTGCAATGTTCGGGGTCCCCGACACAACGAGGGGCTTCTTTGCCGGCCAAGGATCAGTGTCTAACAGGGGTATTGTGGCGGCAAGTGACCCCGAACCGGAATGGTGTTTGAGGGGGCTCGAAGAGGGCCCAGATGGTTCCCAGCCCAAAGATCAAGAGGCTGATTGAAAGGCTGAAGGGTCCGTGGGCTGGATGTAGGTCACATTAAGGACCCCCGCCCACAGGGTCGTGATCTCAAAAATTATTTAGAAGAACTCTTGCGTTGAAGGAACCTAGCCTGAGACCTTGCGTTGGAAGGAATCCCTGAGACCTAGCGTTCCTCTATTTCGGAGATAACCAACAACGAACAGTCGGCTCCGTGGAGGTCTGAGCTCTGGGGGCCCATTTCCGATACAGGGACAAGACTGACCCCGCATTTTTTTATTAGTTGGGCACCGGGACAGTGAAAGGGAGTATGAGGACTTATGACGACTGCTCACATCAAGGCAATGAAAGCGTCCTGCGCCAGATAGGGCCCCGGTACCGAACGCTGGGCCATCAAACCTAGTTCAAGCATGGGCCCGTTAAGCCGAACTGCCGTCTTTGTACCAGTTATTTGACCACCTGCGGAGATCAGCGATGTTATTGCGTCACTTCTGTGTCGATCCGGGGTAGATTTCACGGGTCCGAAGTCCTCCCGTATCAGGAAAGAGGACCAATGTGATATGATTTATCCCTCTAAGGGGCTCCGGATCGGCTAGAGGATCCTACCCGTGTCGCCAGAATGACGGCCGGAAAACATACCGCGGTGGGACAGGATGGCCCTTCAGCCCTTGACCAGGAACACTAATGTTCCCCGTAGTGCTCGACTCAAGGGGGCTCCTTTTGCAGAATCGGCTAGTGAAACACATAACACCAAAAAGTTTGAGCCCGCGCGCCGGGTACCGATAGTGTCGTGGCTAACGCGCCTGCATTAACCACTGGGCTTCTGAGAAACCAGAGGTACGGGTTCGATTCTCCGCGGTGCCAGCCTTTTCTGCCAGGGTGAGAGGCAGGCAGCGCCATATAGCCTAGGCGGCTGAGTGCGTAAAGCCCCAATAACACACCCGAAATATCTGGGAGCAAGGATACTAATGCCCTGGGTTGTAAGTTCCGTGAAACCGAACGGTGCTGACCACTGCAGGTAACACCAGGTGGCGGGCGCCTTGCGCGCAACAACAACCAATGCAAAATAATGTTTCTGAATGTCGAAATTAAGTTATGCCGCTCAAAGACTAGACTACGCGAATATGTTTTATGACTTTGAGGTTGTTCTCTGGGCGGATTAACAGTCACAGCGACCTGAAAATGGAGATTCCATTGTTTGTCTTCCAGCCCCACCATTAGACTCCAGCACAATTTCGCGGTGCTGTAAATGCCAATCCGGTGTTATCATCGATCTGAAAATCGCACAGGTGAAATGTACGCCTAGAATATTGCCAAATTTACGACTTTATGTCCTAAAGCGCGCAACGGCAATTTCTTGAAACGCGTCATCATTTTCATCCACCTGCTGGCCATGGCTTTGTGCCATCCGCAGTGTTTACGCTGCGCGGCCTACGGAGACTGGAAAGCTTGGCGTCGAGGTTTTTGTTGCCAAGAAATGCGAGCGCGCATACCGAAAACTACGTTACAAAGTTGTATCACTAACATATTCTGACTGAATGTTGAACATTTCCAGACAAACATGACTTGGTCATGTCGATACAAATGTTTGACCCATTTCGATCGTCAGTCTGTGTTCGCGAAGCCCTTGATATCTCTATACTGCCCGATAAAAATTCTGACGAAGTTTCTGGGTTGCATCGGTTTAAAGAGTCCACAGGACCATTGTAAAATGGACAGCGCCGGCGAGTTATTTCTTTGCCGTCGTTTAACGCATGCTTTTTCTAGTTTGTCGGCCATAAAATTCAGGCAGAATTGATATGTGTATAAGCACGAGTACGGGTAAGCAGTTCACGAAATGTTGCGTAGATTATTCAAGAAACAGTAAAAAAAAAAAAACACACAACGCTGCGGGTTAAGTCTTTTTGGTCATAACTAGCCCCAGTCATACAAGCTGTGCATCAAGCAATACAAAGGAGCAAGTCTGAGAGTACATTTGTCCGCAGCCATTTCATGAGTTGAAGCTCACGGCCTGCAAAATTTCAAACGGACTGATAATCCGTGAGCACAGTTGATTAGCAATGGACAGCAGATGGTATGGACACAGCCCATGAGTCGCGGGTGGACTGGGCAACGGAAATCTTACCCGGGAATCCCCGTAAGCTGGTGTCCGCTTGAGACCGGACTAGCTCGTGACAGGAGTGCTTGACGAGTTGTCGTGAAGTGTCCCCTTTAATCCCAAAAGTCCGCTCAGTTTAGTTCCGACCACGAGGCCGTTTCTTGGCCGACAAGGCTGCCGTTCCTTTTTCAGCTACTTGAACTGAACGGGACGTTCAGCCATGGCCTGTCTCCGTCATGAACGGGTCGTCGACCTCGTCCGTGATCGGTTCGCGCTGGCGAGAGGGCCGCTCAAACCTTTTGTCATTGGTCAAGTGAGGAGTGAGGTCAATTCAAGGTCAGAGTCGATAGCAGTAGAAAGAAAAACATTTACAAGTTTAGCTAGAAAGACGTCCCAGGTCTGGGTAATGGGCCGCCATGCCACTTTGTTAAGTTCTACGTGCGTACGCTCCTGTCTCTGCGCACAGTGATTGACGCCAGCCCCTTGCAGCTCATGATGCCAAAATGATGCCTCCGCCGCCGAGCCGCCGTGGCAAAACAAACTCGCCAACGCATTGCTTGCTGAGGGTGCATGCTGAATGGCCACAACACTTCCTTGCAGCGCTTTCAGCACCGTGCAGTGCACACCGGTAACACTGGAACGCATAGCTAACAAAACGAGCCTGACCTTTTAATGTGGCCTGCAAATGGAGCCCGTGCAAAGTTCAAGCCACGGCCTGTGGTTGGCTATCGGCTGGTTGTTATCACGCTTTCTTTCGCATGACGAAAATTGCAAGCCAGCAAAAACCCTTCGCTACTTCCGTCGTTGTATTTCTGATTGTCATATCATTGCCGCAATGCTTCGATTTTGCACAGTTCCAGTCTGATCCAGAATTCAGTCTGTCGAATACTTGCTGCTGTGACATCTCCCATAGCGTCAAGCTTCGCTGAATAAGTCATCTGCACATATAATCATAAGGATCGTCCTCGATTGGCGATCCAGCACTTCGTGCACTGGCGTTATTCACGTCAATTGGCGCCCTCCTACGAATGGAGATCGCAAGATTTATCGTTACTCGGGCAACAAAGCGAGTCTCTTTCCGACGGCTTGACTGCCGCTCAACTTGTTTCACCACCCACACGATTGTGATAACCCCATGAACTTGCAGGCGGACCTTGCCCGCCAGAGCTTCAGGTCTTTCCGCTCTCTGTTTAACCTGCACACGGATCAGCATACAAAAGACGACGAACACAAAAAGACGGACTTCAGACACACCTTTTTGGGGATAGTGTTTCATGTACATGATAGTCTCGTTTAAACACGAAGCCAACGCAGAAGTGCTGCGCGCTTCCATACTGTAGCCGGCTTTATTCTGCAGTCTGCAGTCTGCGATCTCCGGGATCAGTCTGACAAAGATCACTTGCCTCCAACTAGAAACAAAACTGGAAAATGAAAGTTGTGTGCAATCGTCAGCATGATGGCGTGGTCGGCGAAACACGCAGCCTTTTTATGTTATCCGTAATTCGTCTGGCTCAAATCCCCACTCCCTCTGTGATCGGCTGCTGAATAGGCCGTGCGCCGAAGGACACTCGAGAACGCTTTCACTACAGCCAGTTGGTTAAGACGGGTTGGGTGGCATGTCCTTTCATAGCGTGCATGTATGCACGACCCCTTGGTACTTGGGCTGGAGAGATATAACTGTGCACGAGTTAGGCAGTGCAAAAGCAGCCGTAAGGCGTGTGAGCCTCTCAAATGGTCCCCGAGGTGCGGTGTGCGGTGTGCGGTGTGTTGTGCGGTGGGACATTGTGCACATTCCGCACTATTGAAGACACCTAGACGCTCTGCGCCTTGTGGCTACGCGCACTGGATCACCCCGACCTTAGCTGGTTCACACAGGTCTTGTATGACTCTTTAGATGGGAACTCCCTGAACGAAGCGCTTTGCCGCTTTCGAAGTTTTTTTTAGAGGCGGTCTCAGGGATGAGGTGGTCATGAAGTGAAACCTTGATATCTGGAGACATGCCTGAAGTATTTTGCCTGGTTTCCGACGCTTAGAACCCGTCACAGCTGAAATGGCCGCATATGCGATCGTGCGGATCAGCGAGCACGTAGCAGGTCGATAGTAGCATCGCCTTGTGTATGTGTGCATGTGTGCATGTGTGCATGTACCTCCGTGGCATCAGGCTCACTGGTGGCATTAGCAAGAGGCAAAAACAGTCCTTGATTCGCGCAGAGCTGTGTCGAAAGTGTCCAACTGCGGATTGATTTGCTTAGGTACTAGGGTACACCTATACGTACTGCGCCGCTACTTGCGAGATCGTGATGTGCTCAAGTGTAGGTGTCCAGCGAAGTGCTACTGAGGCGACTGATCACTAAAGTAAGAGGTGCGGGAGCGTCAATGGATACACAAACACAGCTGCTGTTCGAAACTGCTGTTTGAGAATGCTTCTCAGACTTCTTTCCAAAACCGAAGACACGTTATTGAAGGAGCTGACAGAGCTAAAGCTCTGGATCATGGTCCGAGTGTCATGGAATCTTAGACCACTGACGAGCCTACTCATTCTTAGTTGCTGCAGTATCGAATAATAAATAACATTGTTCCATACCCCTAAGCCATTTTATTAAACCATATTATATATATTCACCAGATGCTTGCCATGAAAAAGATGCTTGCCATAAGAGACAGCAGTTTTCCACACTTTCCATCACACGCTTTTAGCGTGCGCTCGGTGTTCCTGTTTACCCCGGATTAGTGTTCCCTACTTCCGGCGGCAGCGGCCGCGCTAGTCAGGCAACGTTTGAGACCATGGCGAACGTACCCAGCAGCTGGACCAAGCATTTAAGTAAAACGGAAAACAAGAATTATAGAGAGTCGGGTTTTGACTGTCATGTCCATCTGCTTGATACCATAATAAAAGATGTGATTCCGGGCCAGAGGCTCGCACCCGGCACAGGTGTGACGCATGCGTCATGTGCTGCACAGCTGAGCGGCCCCGTGGGAAACGCTGAAAGGTCACGCGGGTCCTCCCGGGTCGCCGGCTGGCCAGGCGGGCGAGGGAACGGTCGCTTTCCATGCGCCTCAGGGCAGTTTCGTGCGGGTTGCGGTATGCTTCGGCCTGTCGGAGAACACGGGAGTGTCGCTAAAACGGCGCAAGTGCGCCGTACGCCCGGATCGGTTGAGCTGGGCTGTCCGTAACAGAGGACGCCGCTGTTCGCTGTCTGCGGGCGCTGCTAACGCATGTCAGCATGGCTTGCAACGGTATAATTGTGCGTAGTGAATCGGCGCCTCTGTTTAGTATAACCGTCTGTGGCCGATGGAATGCAGTGCATGGGGGGGGGGGGGGGGGGAGCGTGTGAACAGTGAGGGGACAGATGGAGAGGCTTAGCCTCCGAAATTTTTTTGCAGTTTCAGCTATACTTTGGTTTGTTGTACCCATCTTTGTGAGCGCGCGCCATCGTGGCACAGCTCTTAACAGTAAAAGTACTTTGGTGGCAATACAATTCCTATTCATGGCGGGTTGACAGTTACTGAGCGTCACATGTGCTTCTTGTTGGGTTTCGCAACTCTGTAGAGATGTTAGCAACTTAGTAACACGTTACTCGGAAGTGCCTGATTTAATAGCAAGTCACAATGACCCCCCCCCCCCCCCTGAGACGCAGCAAAAGTCGTTCCCCTCATTTCTAAAACCCAACGACTCCGCCAAGCATCATGTAGCACCCTCATCATGTCATGTAACAAACCTTTCATTTAGACGCTATAGATCATTCGCGGGTGAACTCTGCACTGAGCACCCATCTGCGCCCACCTGCGGTACCACTTCATACCATTGAAAGACACGCCTTTATTGACATGATCCGCAATTCACATGTTACTTCATAAGTTAGGAACAGCACACACTGGCCGGCAGGTAGGTGCAGAAGTCCTGCACACCCATGCATCTCCAGGAAACGCATCAAGCAGAGCTACTTTAGAAAATTGAGGAAGCTCAACGAAACACGTGCTCCCGGGACCAACAACACCTCGCCAAACGGCCTTTATTTATTCGTTTGGTTCATATTAATGAAAGTGATCGGCAAGTTTTTCACATGCTTGAGCTGCTCAGTCAACGGCAGCTCCATCTCGCTGAAGTTCGCCGGCACTACCATTTCCCCGCCGGAGAGGTAGGCCGCGAAGAAGCCGAACGTGCCGTACGAGAGCACGGCGTGGTCGCACGCCCCCAGCAGCGCCATGTCGGACACGGGGCTGCCAACGTTCCCGCTCCCCGCCATCCGCACGTCCCCCGCGAGGAGGTGCTCCTCGCACCAGCGCATGTCGTCGCTCACGACGACGAACAGACAGCGGCCATGGCGGCGCCGGAGGAGGTCCATGGCACGGCGGAAGTAGCCAGGCCCGAGCAGACGTCCGCGCACGCGCCGCTGCAGCCACGCGTCGTAGTCGGTCCGCCGCACGTGCACGCCGACGACGGTGACGTTGCCGACGAGGCCGCGTCGGAGCCGACGGAGCGTCAGCGCGGCCTCGCGGCGTACCGCCGCCGGCAGCCTGCAGCTCGCGGCGCAGCTCGAGCCGGTACGCGTCGTAGAGCAACGGCACGTTAGCGTAGCGCTCGATCCAGATGTTGCGCGCCGCCTTGCGCGGCAGGCGGCGGCAGTTGTCGCGGCGCATGGTGCACTGCAGGAAGCGGACGTCGCAGAAGGCCGGCAGCGGCGGCAGGCTGACGGACGGCCGGGCCGCCAGCCGGTCGAAGGCGGCCGGCAGCAACCAGGCGCGCAGACCGAAGCGGCGCGCGTAGCCCCAGAGCGTGGCGTACTCGGCCAGCACGTTGCCCAGCCGGCCGCCGAAACCGGCGGTCACCATCGCTCCCAGCGGACAGCCGAAGTCGTCCACATCCAGCCGGTACCGCGCGATGGTGTCCAGCGCGTGCAGGTAGGCGGCCTCCTCGTCCGTCGTGCCCGGCACGGGCGGCGGCAGGCTGAGCTCCGGGGGCAGGTCACCGTCGCCGGGTCCGCTGACCGGCCAGCCGACGGGCGCCATCAGCGTCCAGTACAGGCCACACCCGACCAACACGATCAGCAGGAACGACTTCTGGTGCGGCTGAAAACAGGGGAGACGTTACCACTCCTTCCCGGCGCTAGCTAAACCCACTCATCTTTTACATACGCCCATCACGATGTGCATGAACGCTAAGTCACGTGTGTACGAGGTGAGACGGCGGTAAATTCCATTCATTATAACACGTCTGTCGAATGTCTCAGCAATTGGTTACGAGTCGCAGTTTCCGAGAGGCCATTAATCATATCGTAAGGAAGTAGAAAAGACGTCGTCTTCGCAGTTCGTGTTCGTGACGATCATCCGCGGTTTTCATGACGTCCGCAGCCGCAGCGTTGTCCCCAGGCATGCACCGTGGCTCCTACTTCGCGCTGCTCCATGCCTTCTGGCTACTAATCGGTTTATATGGCATGATGTATGCGCCACGAAATGCCACTGACTAATGCCCAGTATGCCGCATTGGTCGTGTTCACGTGGGACAAACAGACGTCCATGGTCACGCGATCTGCTGTTTAAGATTGCATGCGGTGGAGCGTGGGACTGGGATGACGGCACGGCTCTATCATGGACTTACAGAATAGTAATAACCTGAGATGTTGCGTGGTACAATATGGGCAGTAAACATTATTGTCCATTGTATTAAAAGGGAATTAGTATGACTTCCTTACAACGATTATGTACGTGACAGTCTAAGCAAGTTGTATTTTTGCCGCATTTTTGGTAAGTTGTATACCATAAGTTGTATAAGTCTACAAGTCATATAAGTCAAGAGTCTGCCGCAAGTTGTATTTTTGCGGCATGTTTTTGTCACGGACCTTGCCCACAGAGTCAAAAATCAAAATATAAGGCGGGGCCTTTGTCAGCCCGTTGTCTGGCGTCCGTAATTAATTGTCAGATGCCAGTGTAATCAGAGCAGGTGGAGAAGTGAATCATAGGCGAACTTGTCATCAATGTCTGTTTTCATTTCACCTGTCTCATGCGGCGAAAGGGGGATTGTCTATGCACCTTCGACGCAATGGAATATAAAATACACTAGACCAGCATGTATAGGCATGTGTCCAGCCTTAACACGGGCATATATTGTGTTCCACACACAACCGCTCCACAGCCGTCGCACAACTATATATGATAACTCTGAGTGTCTATGCACCTGCGTTTCGGCGCGCAAAGCTTCACATTCGAACTTGACACCGACCTGTCAGGAAATGATTAGCAAACCCACCGGGTTTCAGGCCTGCTCCTGTGCAACAACAGCACTTGGTGACAAGAATTTGTAAATGTTCACAATGGGGGGGGGGGGGGCACAACTCTCACTTTTTTCACTGAAGAACAAATTCAATGCGCCGTAAAAGCGCGGGAATTCTTACACGGCGTATAATAACATCGCATGTTTCCTAACAATATTTTACGCGACGATCTCGATTTTTCTTAAGATGAGGACACTTAGTCACCGTCACATCAATGCGTGTAGCAATTTTATTAGGGTGATGCGTACCTCCAGTGCCCATCCCCCCTGTCCTTGAACTCGCCCCTGTCTCGCGCCGTTCCACACGGAGCTCGATTTGAGTGGGGTCGCCCCGCTATATTACGTCCAGCCCCCAGCAATTCCCATGTGGTGCTCGGGCCTCACTCACCATACCCGGTTCCCGGAGACGGTGTCCAGTCTGTCTGATGTCGCCCGGAGACGGTGTCCAGTCTGTCTGATGTCGCCCGGAGACGGTGTCCAGTCTGTCTGATGTCGCCCGGAGACGGTGTCCAGTCTGTCTGCCGTCGCCCGGAGACGGTGTCCGATCTCTCCGGCGTCGCTCGAAGGCGGCGTCCGGGCTCTCTGGCGTCGCCCCGCACACACACGCGAGTAAGTTCGGCGGCACGCTCAGTCGCGGGCCAGGCCGGACATCACTAATGGCGGGAGGGGGCGCGGCGCCTCGCACCGCTCCCACGTGTTTTATGCATACCCATGGGAGACGTCAGGTACACACCGCTGCGGTCTGAGGGGCGAGCGGACGAGTGCACCGCGGGACTGACGTCGCCCCCGTGGCAGTGAGGTAAGCGCAGCTTTTGGACAGACATGTGCCTGGATCTTGAGGGTGGACCCGGGATCCCAATGGGCCTCATGTTAGCGGGATCCTAGGATCTGTTGAGGGCATCAAGCACGTGTCTGCTTTCGAATCACGTAACGTCGGCTTCGTGACCAGACAAGGCTTTGTTTCGTGTTCTTCGCAGCATGTGTCCTCTGACCCCTACCCCTGCCGAGTTGACCCTTACCTCTAGAACTTACCTCTACCTTACACTGCGTGACAACTTGCCTCTATCCGAGCGCGCGTCAGACAGATGCCTGGTGACGTAGTATCAGCTGTACGCCGACATTCAGGTTGCGGACATGTACGTGCGCAGCATGTACTGCGACGGCCGGAGGCTTAACATCACAGCTCTCTGCGTACCCATGCCTCCCAGATACGTGTAGGTCAGAGCATTGCCTCGTGAGGAACACAGCGCGTGAAGTGGGTACTATGGGATTGTTATCTATGTCTACGAGAGGCGCCGGCCTCTCTGTGGCTGCCGACTGCCAATGTAGTCACCGCCCCTGAGCTGCCCACACCGATGAAGGTAGCCAGGTGAATCTGGTCAATTATTTTTAGGTTATAAGATGGACATTTTTCAACTTATGTAGCTGCGGTATCATCTTCCGCGCGAACAGTCATGACGCTTGCTTGAGCTAGAACAGTGAGCTCTGCAGTGGGCAAACAATAGCGCCATTTCAACCGCGAGAAGTTAGTTGAAGTACGTACCCAAATGTGAAAGGGCATGCATGGGACATATTGCTATAAACGCCAGTATTTCACCGATGAGTTATTACTATCATAAGTCGGAACACAGCTCATTGGACACAAAATATATTTATGTACAACTCAAATGGAGGACAAATTCCATTACCGAGCGTCCGCGTGCTTTCATTACCTCATATGACTTCAGTGTTTTTAATGTCAACAGTACGTATGTGTTGTTAGAGGGGTAATGGTATTGCCGTACAGTTCACTCAATGTGAACTGTTGAAATGCGTGTCGCGTTTGTGATTTATCAGTCAGTTGACACATCCATTAGTTGTGAGTCGCTCCACCAATGTTTGATTCCGGGGCCAAAATTTGGCATTCACGTTGCAAACGTTTTGTATTTTTCGCAATTAACCCAGTCGTAAGTTCACGTATCTTGTGCACAAGAACCACAAGCAACAGAAACAACCCGCATCGTGCTTACGGGAGCCATCACCCAACAGAAGTCATTTTTCTGTGCCGCGTCCCATCACAGCCTCCACCGAGGCTAGCCACATGGGCGTAGGAACAGGGGGGGGGGGGCAGGAGGCCATACCCCCCCCCCCCACTTTTTAAGGTGGGGGCAGCAATGTTGACTACAATGTTAACAATGTTGCATTTTGCTTACTTTTGCACCACGTTAAGCATGTATGCCGATTTACCTAGTTCACCAGCCATCTCCCTTAAGATGCGTCGCCTTTTTCGTTTGCCCATTGGCCACCGCTTAGTGTTAAAGCCACAAAACCGACGCCGCACGGCATGGAGACTGCAACGCCAGGCGTCGAGGCTGTTATTGCTATGACTTGCGAGCACGCATGTTCAACACCATATTACGTAGTTCTCTTATCAGTAATTATCTCTGACAGGATCTTGAGCATTCTGAGACGAACATGGGTTAGCCATGTTAATGCAAATTAGGAACTCCATTTCATCTGCAATCTACAGTCAGGGAGAACTCAATATCTCTGAGGAACACAGAAAACACGGAACTCGAGTCTATGTGACAACTATCGGACTACCTGCGGTGATCAGGGACGTTTTTGCGTCAATGAAGGTTCCTGTGCTGATCTGGGGCTAACCGCGCGGGTCAGATGACCTCCCGTCAGGGATGGGAACAATATGCTATGATATATTCCTTCTAATGGCCTCCGGATCGACCAGGAGATCCCGCCCCGTGTCACCGGAATGATAGCCAGAAGACACTTCGCGATGGGACGGAGTGGCCATTCAGCCCTTGACCGGACACAACAATGTACCCCTGGTGTTCTACTCAAGAGGCCCCTTGCTCGGAAGGAAATAAGGGGGTATCATTATTGCTAAGTAGAGTGGAGCTCTCGTTACTGTTGAATGGCGCGGGTCGAAATGAATTTAGGAAAACGAGCAATGTCATGCCATGTTTGCCTGAGGACGTTCATTTTTTCAGGATGTTTATTGAAACAAATTACATCCAAAGGCTTAAACATGCCCGCCCGCAACCTCGAGAGCATGGACGAGGTTGGTCCGGGTTGCAGCTTCCGTAAAACCGAAAAGTTTCGGTCACTGCAAGTGACACCAGACGGCGGGCGGCGTGTTAATTTGTCTTCTGGAGGGATAAATAGCTGCGAAAACACGAAATAAACACGAAAAAAACACGAAAAACATAGCTTTTACCTTATCTCTTTTAGTTCAACAACCAGATTCCAGCCCCACCTCGCGGTGCTTTAGGGGCCAATCCGTTCTTTTAATCAGTCTTAAAATCGCACACGTGAAACATGCGCTCAGGCTGCCTTCTAAATACAACATCTAATGTCATGAAGCGCCCAAGGATACTTTTTCACAAGCGTCGTCATTTTCGTCCACCCGTTGACCACAACTCAATATTAGCTGCTACGCCGACGCTGCGCGGCCTACGGAGTCTGCAACGCCTGGGATCGAGGCTCATGTTTCTAAGATTTCCGAGTGCACGTGCTCAAAATTACGCCACATAACTTGTATTACTGGTCGATTTAAGTGTTTAAAGGTAATCCTTTCGGAAGCGTCATCATTTTCGTCCATCGATGGGCCACGGCTACATACTAGCTATTGGGCTACAGATCCGCGGACTACGGAGACTGCAACGCCTGGTGTCGAGGTTTTTGTTGCTAAGATTTGCGAGAGCGCATGTTAAAAACGCGTTACATAAATTGTATCACTAGTCGATTTTGACTGAATGGTGAGCATTTTCGGACAAACATGGCTTGGCCATGGAAATACCCATTATACACCACTCAATCTACAATCAAATTTTCATCTTCAAATTTGGATCGAACATATCGATCTACATTCTAGCTTCGCGACGTCCTCAATGTCCGTAGAACCAATATAAAAAAATGACAATGTTCTTGAATTCTATCGATTTAGAAAGTCAACTAACCATTGTAAATTAAGAGCGCCGGTGATTTCTTCCATGCAGTCGTTCAATGCCTGATTTCTGCAGTTTCTTGACCCCAAAATGCAAACATAATTGAGCTCACGGTAGCTCCTGGTTTTTGTTCTGGTTACAAGGTAAAAATGACAATAAAATTAAGAAAATCGTGTCACCTGTTAACAAGTAAGCTACATCCGGGGATTTTTTTTTTGGGGGGAGATCACAATAAGATGGGCTTCTTCGACCTTGTATTCCTCCTTGGTAAGGTTCTGGCTACGCCCTTGCCTACACACAAAAGCAAATCAAGTCGTATACGTTGCATGATGGGCAATGAAGTGTCCCTTGGGCCAATTCATACCTAAGGCAGACAGCTTCCCGGACGCTACTTTCCTTCGATGGTGTGGTGTGAGGGAAGATAGTTTGGAAAAAGATACCGGTGCAGGTGTCCAACACGTGTTTCATACACCACGTAGTAGTAATGCTGGTCCCAAAGCATACAACAAAGCGGCCATACGATCAGTTCGCAGTCAGTCATGCGGGAGACATTCGGGCCAGGGCAGTGACCACCGACAGGCGGACAGGAGCAGGGCCCAGATAAGGGGCATATGACAAATGGGCCTTGTTATGTGGCTTGATTCTTAAAAGAGAATCTCCAGTTTTATGGCTTTTGTCACATTGTGTCTAGCAGTTTCAAGCTCCCGAATTTGTTTCCGCCTAAAATGCTGCGACAAATCTTATCTCTTGAAAAGCAGCCAGCGAAATGAAGGCGCATGAAAAATCTGTCGCACTGTGAGCCATCGATCCACTTTCAAGATTCTCACCAGCCTATACCCAGGCCGTATTTTGGCATCTACACTGTGGAGGCAGATGCTTCCTTAATGACCCAGAATACCTACCCGCTCTTGGAATTTCGCCTCCTCAGGAAGACAATGTTAAGATGGACCAAAAATCTAAGGAAGCTGGATAGCTTTATTTGCCACATGACAGATGAGTCGAACAGGCAAGATTGTGCACCAGTGATAAACAGCTCGGGATGCATATCTAGCGTAGCAGACATGACATTTGAGTAAAGAGCGGTAACAACCTCCATCCTTACCCCCCCCCCCCCCCCGCGGTCATCGGGCTCACTTTTCATAAAAGTTCCTGAAGTACACCCTGAGCTTGCCCCCCCCCCCTGTTTTTGAAACGTTCCTACGCCTATGGATAGCCAAATACGTAATACCAGTATTTAACGACCGAAATATCAGTGGAAAGATAGACACATACAGCCGCCATGAGCCTCCAGACCACTTAAAACGTGATCAGACAAGAAACGGCAGCGTAAGTAGCCCGAATCAAATTCTATCCCACTTGTCATTTTCAAAGAGCTCTTGTAACTTATCCGAGCGGGGCGTAGCCAACCTTCAACGTGAACGGATATCCAGGCTCGATGGCGCGGCGTGATCACCAGTCGATGAGCTGGCGTGATCACCAGGAGGGCCGGCACCAGTCGATGAGCTGGCGTGATCACCAGGAGGGCCGGCACCAGTCGATGAGCTGGCGTGATCACCAGAAGGGCCGGCACCAGTCGATGAGCTGGCGTGATCACCAGGAGGGCCGGCACCAGTCGATGAGCTGGCGTGAT